GCCCTACGGCGCAACCACGACAACCTGCGCAGCGGACGTGACGATAGCAGCTTCCCGCATTGATTTAGACAGGTGTTTTTTTTTTTTGCCGAACCAGGTAAAGGCCACTGAGCTATTAGCCCTTGTTCACAGGCGACGTGGCCACACACGGTACGCTCATCATCGACGGTGGGAATTTGTATTCGCAGCCACATGATCTCAACGCATGTTGTTTCTAAAATGTGGAGGGGTCGGGGGGGGGGGCAAAAGAGGAGTACCCGGAGGGAAAAAAATCCCCCGCAAGGAGAGAGAGAGCACACGTGAACAACAGAGGTCGTCAAGGTCTGGGACCGAAGAGGACGATAACATCTCCTTGCGACTGCCGGTTCGGAGGCGGCAGGGAATAGACGAGGGTGTTGGTGTGTTGGGAGGGAGAGAGAGAGGAAGAGAGAGAGATGAGGGAGAGAGGGAGAGAGGGAGTGAGGCCCACATGACGCCGCCGATGGCTCGTGACGTGCGCCCGCCACGAGCCGGCCGGCGTGACCGCGATGGCCCCAGGGGCCACACCTGTGAGGAGTGCGTGCGCTCGCCCGCACCGTGCCCTCCCGGGGGTCCTCAATCAACCGAGCGACGAGGCGTAAATGATTCATTCCAGCATCACATCCCATTCTTAATAAATGGTGCCGGGGCATTGTGGTGAGCGAAGAGCTGGCGTGAAAGACAGGAATAGAAAGGAATTGATTTGGTTGAATTTCATTTCAACAACATGGAATTATGGACAAGTGCCGGGGTGCGTTTTCCTCCGATGTTGTGTTTGTTGACTTTGTGGACTTTGGGTAATGTGAGATTTGGAGTCAAATGGCTGTAATGTGAGATACAGAATCAAATTAGCGTGTGATTCAAACTCCAATCGATGCAGGATTTGGCCCGTTAGGATCAGGGGTTTTGAGAAAGAGGTTAGCAACTAGTTTGGGAGAGGTTTAGTATTATGGATAGGGATCGTGGTAGAGTTAGATTGTCTTAGTGCTTAGGTTAGATATGAGATGTGTACTGTTCGGGCGACTGAAGTAATTAGATATTAGAGTTAGTTTTAGGGATGGCGGTAGTGTCATGTTTTTGACTGGCTTGAGACCACAGCTTGAATCTCGATCTAAAGCTTTCGTGACTGCATGGATTCATCTTCTTGGCTCTTTCGGTAAAGTCACGTAGAAGGGAAATAATAAAATAATAAAAATTAAACATAATAAAATACAATTCTCACGACGTTTCGGCCACAATGCAAGCAGCCGTCCTCAGGTGAAGAACAGGTCTGTCAGAAAGACAGCGTCTTGAGTTAGGAGTATTGTTCGAGGTACCATTATTTTTGTGGTTAGCGTTAGAGATAGTGCAAGAAGGTCATTATCGGATTTCGTGTTGGGAGCAGGGTGATTAAAACTATAAACTATTTTTTTTATCTTACCAGGTAAGGCCCACTGAGCTATACAGCTTTTTTTTAGAAGTGACCTGGCCACAAATGATAGCTCAATCAAGTGACTTATCAAGTGGAAATGTATAGCAACCGAATAATCTAAACTCACGTTTCTAAATGTGGAGGAGAATCCGGAGGACCCGGAGAAATATCCACACGAACACGGGGAGAGAGACACGCAAACTCCAAATATACAGCAGGCGTCAGGATCGGGATCGAACCGACGGCCTCCTGCACACCAGGCGAGGCAGTGAACATTTTGCCACTGTGGCGCCCTATTGTTTAGAGTAAGTGTACATTCAGTGACCATTAAGACTGGCAGCTGTCAGATGATATGATTGGGGGGTTTCGACCCAGACAGGCCAGCAATTGGCATGTGTTAAGTATTTAATTTCTTCCGAGATCTGGTGCTGGTATTGTGGTGAACTATATTACAGTTTGGATCTGTGTAAAAGGCAGCAACCCTTTTGAGTGTAAGATTTGGAAGTTGGGGCGAGCAGTAAATGTTGCGGTCAGGATTAGAGTAGCATTCTAGAAATATATTCGCACCAAACCCACATTCCATGACCATTTAAGCGGAAAACAACAATTTTCGCTTTACGCAAAAAATAATCTAGTTAAAATCGTTATTTCTCACATTGCATCGCCCAACGTCTCCCACAGACACCTTTCCTCCCACTCCTCAGCTACATCACACCTCTTCTCCCTCCCTTCCTTCTCGTCTTCTCCCTCCTGTCTCCGGCACTGCACACACTCCATGCACTCTGTCAGCCCTGGTGGTGCTCGGCTCCTGTTGTGCTGATGTGAATATTTATAGCCTGCGCGGTAGGACGGGGCTATTATAAAACCTCCGCACTCGCTTGCCCTGCGCCAGTGGTGGCAGTAATTATATTATATCGGCTGCTGTTTTTGTCTTGCGTTGCTCACTTGGGTATTATGACTGAGTGTGGGTGGGTGTGTACGCGCGTGTGTGTGCGAGTAACGGTAGTGCAGCGGTTAGCGCGCTGCGTTTCTAACCCGGTTATCCGAGTTCGATTCCCTTTCACGGCCAACACCAGTGATGATTATCTGAACCGGTCCTTGGCCTTGCCTAGGGCAACTTGGCCTCAAATGAGTACCTGGTGTGGTGTGTAAATTCTCCACTAGACAAAGGTGGCTGAGCATGGTGCTGGCCTCCCACCCCGTCATGTACCATGCCAGCCTTAATAGGTGCTTGCTCGCAGCACTTGCCGCAACAGTCTGTTAAAGGCTACATGGGGGATCTTTGTTTTTATGTGAGCAGCAGTGGTATGGTTAGCGCACTGCGCTATGAACCTGGTAGCCTGGCAAGTGATATCTGAACCAGTCCCAGGCCCTCCTCTAGGTTGACTTCGTCTTAAGTGAGTATCTGGTGAAGTTTGCTATTTTTTTACTTGCGATCCACAAATGGTGTACGCAATGGGCTTGTGTGATCGCTGCAGCCACTAGAGGCCGCTACCTACACCGCACATTTAAAAACAATATCATTGATCGCAAAATAGAATCATGACCCTGAATTATAGCCATGCATTGCAGCCTCATTGGCTGTGGGATCCCAAAAAGTCATCGATCGTTGGTCACTGGTTATACTCTCTTCTGTAGCCTGACTGAACCTGAAATGGACAGCCGGTTGAGACGCGATTCATGGCCATTTACCAGAGCTGGGACACAAATGTGGCCCCAATGTTAACACCGAGTAGGCTTTCGCGACCAATATCATCCATAACAAGAGTTTTTTTTTGTTTTTGGGTGAGATCGCGTCAATATTAATGCACCGTCAAACCCGCCACCACTCAACGCAGCCAATTAGTAAGGTTTGTCACGTAATCAAAACATGCCAATTAGGTTTGAGTTCAACAGACTGGTGTGTTGGAGAGTTAAACCCACAACAAAATGGCTCCCACGTGCATGCTTCTGGTCATACTACCCCTCCGTGTGCTGTGGCTGGCTTAATAGGTGACCGCGAAGAGCATTTGTTCAGGCAGATCAGGCTTAAAATAGGGTGTGTATATATTTGTGTTGTATTTGGGGCTTGTGCGCATGCCTGCCTGCGTTGTGTGCATTGATTGAACAAATTTTACCTCTGTATTCGTAGAGCGCTTGGAAGTAGGCGTCTAATATTTTTTTTTTTAAACGTACAATACTATTCTATTCTAGCGTTTGGCCAATATGTTCAGCAGCTAAATGCCAATGTCGTGGTCTGCTAGCCACACGCAATACCGTGAAAGTGCCATGATGTTATTGCCTGTATTTGCAGGGGGGCCTTTTGTAGTACCCAGTGCAATTATAAACTTTTTTTGTAACTTGCGCCGGCGATTTTCTTTGTTTTCACTTCCGTTTGTTTTCCTTTCTCACGCTGGGCACTGCGGCGCTCACCCGTAGCACACCCGGTAGGGGACAGGGAGTTTAACGAACTGCATTGGCAGAGGAGACGGAACCGCCAGCCAGTCAGCCACCCACAAACGTGCATTTTCTCTGGGTGTCTTGGATTCAGAAGAGTATGTACGTCTGTATGTTGAACTCATTTTGTACCGTACGTAGCCGACCGTGCAAATCGGAGGTCCCGGCGTGAAGCACAACAAACCGAACTGCTTCATGTTTTTTGTTTGTTGCGGTTGCACCCGATTCAAGAGCCAAATGGCTCACAGGGCTACACCTAATAAATGAACTTGAACTTGTTTAGTCTGTTGTCTTTCCCCCGCACCTTCGATTTAGCACAGTTGGCTACGTACGGTGCAAAAGAAGCCCAACATACGTACCGCCGCACGTTTTCGGCCGGGCAGGCTTGACGAGGGACCGACCCCGGGGTGCAGAGGTGTGCTCCCAAAGCCTCTTGACCCCTGTACGGAAAAAGCCGAGGGCGGAACCGTCGTGTGTGCGCTTGGTCCTGTGAGTGTGCGTGTGGTCCTGTGAGTGTGCGCGTGGTGCTGTGAGTGCGCGTGGTCCTGTGAGTGTGCGCGTGGTGCTGTGAGTGCGCGTGGTGCTGTGAGTGTGCGCGTGGTGCTGTGAGTGTGCGCGTGGTGCTGTGAGTGTGCGCGTGGTCCTGTGAGTGTGCGCGTGGTCCTGTGAGTGCGCGTGTTCCTGTGAGTGTGCGCGTGGTCCTGCGAGTGTGCGCGTGGTCCTGTGAGTGTGCGCGTGGTCCTGTGAGTGTGCGCGTGGTGCTGTGAGTGTGCGCGTGGTCCTTTGAGTGTGCGCGTGGTGCTGTGAGTGTGCGCGTGAGCTTGGAGAGCTCACTAGGACGGTGAGTGGGCTGCGCTCCAGCACAATGTACCTGAGCACGGTGGCTAAATGGACGGTTAAGAATTGACAGCTCTCCGCCGGTACACATTTCTGGAGCCTATAGTGCATCCTCCAAGTGTTATTATCCACTTGAGCTCTCTGGCCTCTCTGTTTACTCTCCAAAACAGAAGGGCCACTGCCGGAATTGTTGCCTGTTATATATTTATTTCCTCATTAGGGCCGCATTGTTATTGACGAATGCATTGACGCAGCAGCAGCATCATCATGCTTTTTTTTATTCAACGGCTTTTGTAGGTTGGGGGAGTCTCGCAACACATCTCATGTTGCGATCTGCCAACGCTTGCCTCGGAGGCTCTGGATCACAAGCGGGTGTCAGCATGCTCCGGTCTTGGAATGGAAGCTGAAAGTTAGGAATAAATAACAATGGTAGAGGTTCAGCCTCGGACTCGCTGCACGCGCACACATCTGGAATCCATATCATTCTTTACCAGGGTCTTTCAATTAGGTTTTACTGGTCATCTGCTCATTGTATATTTTAGCGAGCTGAGGGTGCACACAAGATCAACAGAACACGTAAGTGGATGTTTACCCATGAAAGGTCCCCCTGCTTAGCCTTACAGACTTTTATCAGGGCAGCTGCTATTAGCGAGCGCTTATTAAAGCCGGCACAGTTACACGGGGGATGTGGTGGGGCTAGTGGCGCTGGTTAAAAACGTGCGCCCGGTCAACTTTGTCCCAAAACCACAACACCGCACCGTACAATGCTCATTTTGTTCTAAAGGAGGCCCAGGCCCGATTCGCACTTGAACCGCGTTAATGTGCACGAGGAAGGGGAATTAAATTTGGATCGTCAGAGACCCTAGCTCGGCACACGAGCCACTTCAACAACTGCGACCATTTTAAATTCGGTGACGGCGGTGGCGGCGACACGGCAACGGCTTGCTGGCTTCGCCCTTTTTCGTGCTCATCAGCGCAGCAGGCACTCGCTACATGGGTATCGAACAAAGATGCCATGTTTAGCCGCGTAGACTCTTGGGGGCAGGTGCTGTTAGCGAGCACCTATTAAGGTGGGCACAGCACACGAGGGAGGAATGGGTGGTGTGAACCACCCCAAATAATACCGACCCCGTCCGCCTTTATCTATCCTACCACCACTGCAAGTAGGTGCATTTCACTTTAGGCTGAGTCAACATCTGGGAGGCCCGAACTTGGTTCAGATACCAATTCCCAGGCTAGGTTCAGGTACGGATTGCTTGTTGTGGACAGGAATGGGAACTCCAGTGATTGGTATCTGGTTCTTTTTTACTATTTATGCTGCTAGAGCAAAATTCTCTCTCGTGTTAAAAATATTATCCTTCCCTGGTCAGAGTTTAAAGGGCAATTTGATTATTTGCTTTATTTTGAGAATCAAAGTGGTGTTTTAATTGAACCTTGTACTCCAGTTAATTACTGCCAATTGTTGTAAATTTTATACCGGAACACGCAGTTTTCACGACCAATATTAAGAGTCGTGATAGATTTTTTGTTCGGGTAAGATAGCAGTGAGAGTAGAATGTGTGTCGTACACCCTCCTCCACCCGACATGGCCTGTTAATAAAGTCACGTGACGACCAAAGATGGCCAGTTTATTACTGCTTCAGCAGCACCACTCGTGTGATGCTGGAGAGCAATCGACATCCAATCGTTAAACAGTGTGCATGGCTCTCCAGCACTAATAAAGCACTAGTAAAATCATACATTGGTTCACGTGACTACTCTATTTATCGGTGGCGTCGGGTGGAGAAGGGTATTCGACACACATTTCACTTACGAGCTTTGTTAATCGTTCAATGTTTGGCTATTGATCTGAGGTTTTCGAAGTGGTTTGGCCACATATTTAATGACTTTGTGACCCAAGTTTCCGTTTAAAAAATATTTTTTTTTTGTACAATTGGGATGTCACCTGCTTTAAATAGGCTACATATAACGTTACTACCAGTGTATGTAAAGTTTATATGTACGTATGCATAAATACACCGATGTTCACGATGAACATTATCTTCAGTGTCTATGGGGACCAGAAGAAAAATATCAGTATTCGAGCTCTGAGCCAGCACCGCTTAGATCTTGGGTCCAAAATCTCAAACTCCCACCGAGTTTAGGCTGAGCTTCTCAAGTGTACGGAGCATTGCTGGATCAGCCCGCTTGCCCACGGAAAGCAGAAATTCGCGTAAATTTGATTTTTCCGCTTAATTCGATCCAGCTTTACTCCACGACGGTTTGCTTGGCCCAGCGCGTGGCGTGCACGGAGCAAACGGCTCGTCCGGTTCACGTGCCTCCGGAGAGCTCGGCGGAGCGGGCGCGTGAAAGGTGGCCCACGCACGGAGTGGGCGCGTGGAAGGTGGCCCACTCACGGAGTGGATGTGTGGAAGGTGGCCTACTCACGGAGTGGGCGCGTGGAAGGTGGCCCACTCACGGAGTGGGCGCGTGGAAGGTGGCCCACTCACGGAGTGGGCACGTGGAAGGTGGCCCACTCATGGAGTGGATGTGTGGAAGGTGGCCCACTCACGGAGTGGGCGCGTGGAAGGTGGCCCACTCACGGAGTGGGCGCGTGGAAGGTGGCCCACTCACGGAGTGGGCGCGTGGAAGGTGGCCCACTCATGGAGTGGGTGCGTGGAAGGTGGCCCACTCACGGAGTGGGCACGTGGAAGGTTGCCCACGGGATGCCGTACGAAGCTCTCCAGTAGGAGTAGCGACGGTGATCTTTGTGTGCGTGGTGGCGCTCGCTCGAACGCCTCGGCACCTTAAGGCAAATGTGATTCGTAACGTTCAATGTGAATGTGCCATTTTATTGAGGGAAGACTGCTGTGTGGTGTTATCTTTGTGTGGTCTGGGACTGGTGTCGTTTTTGCTGCCTTGCCCAAGCTTGGTGAATCGGATTTCTATAATTATTTACTCTTGTATTTATATTTAATGACTTGCTTACCTTATTCTCTATTTTGCACTCCTATCATTGTTATCTTTTTGCATTGTTTTCTGTTGTAACTTGCCCGTCCATACTGGACACCTGTGAAATGAAAAAGAGCTTCATAGCTCTTCGGATTCCTCCTCCAGATTCCGATTTTGATTCTGAAGTGTCGTACGTCGTCGTGTCTCGTCTCAACGGTTCGAAGGGGTTCCCCCCAGCGGCAGCTGTCCCTGTGTGGCCCAAGGCGGCTTCCACACCGGCCTGCAAGTGCGTTATCCCAATCGAGTAATTTACAGATTTTGTTATTTTCAGATTTGGAATATTTGGACAATGACGCCGGCATGCAGACGGCCCTGCTCTTTTTTCGAATGACGTCAAAGGATGTTGGAACGCTCGCTGTGAAGCAGACGATGCGTATTTTATGCTTAATACACCGGTAGCATTAACCAGGGCAGCCAGCCGGAGATGAACCCCGAGTCCTCTGCAGCAACGTCATCGCCCCATGTTGCCACTTGCAGGTTAATCTATATCGTGGTGACATGATGCTCGCCTGTCTGTAGGGGAAATTGAAATAGCGTTCACATTGTCTAAAGAGCTCACTAGACAGCAGTCTGACAGTCTATTGTCTAGAGACCCCATCAGACACTGGTCTGACAGTCTATTGTCTAGAGACCCCATCAGACACCGGTCTGACAGTCTATTGTCAAAAGACTTCCAGATATTAATATCAAGTAAGCAATAAACTTCGAGCTGCATATTGTTAATGGCATGATAAAAAAGAAGGGAAAATGAGCCCAGGGTTGTGTATCAAATGAGTCGCTTTCTCACTTAGAGCAAAGTCTTACGTCCAACAACTAATTGACAAATTGGTTCAGCTCTTAAAATTAAAGAAATTGCAATACCACTATTAGGACTGCAATGATTAATTGATTCGTCAATGAGAAGTTAATCATATGGTCTTGAAACGTTGCATCGCATCGTGCATGTAAGCAATTCCTAATTTTTTTAACAATTTCAAGGATAGCAGAGGGCGCAACCGGGTACCCGATACCCGTACCCGATACCCGGCTACCCGTACCCGGCCGGGTACGGGTACCTATTTGCGACCCTCGTGCGGCCGGGTACGGGTAGACCGTGAGTCACTGGTGAGTAACTGTTTGTCACTCATTTCCCAACGTCTTGTCTCTTCTCACAATTCAAGTTCCTAGAATCAACCCACCCGCGCCTGCAACATGGCTTCATCCCAGAGGTCGCAATCAGGTACCCGATACCCATACCCTACCCGTACCCGGCCGGGTACGGGTAGGGTACGGGTATGGGTACGGGTACCCGTTTGCGACCCTGGTGCGGCCGGATACGGGTACGGGTAAGGAATCAAAACCCGTTTGCGAACTCTGAAGGATAGTGAGTGGGGGCTCGGGCAGGAAACGTTGGCTCGAAGGGACGATGGAGGCCAAAGAATTCTGACGGAGTAGCAGCCAACGAACAGAACATGGCCCAGAGGACGTTTACCCGGGAAGGGAGGAGATGGAGTGACGAAATCAGCTCGGCGGCGAATCCGCTCCTATGCGCAGGTGCCTGATGGATTGTCTTATTGCAGGATTGCGGGAAATGTCGTTGGCTTGTGGAAGCCTTCATACAGCAGTGGATTGACCAAGTCGGATGATGATGATGATGATAATCTCAATGAGTGTTATGTCTTGGGCTGGGTCCGGGTTGATGGTGTAGGTGGGTGGTTGCTTGCGCGCCTGTTTGTGTGTACTGTACTCCGTGTGGGGAGCGGTAGTGTAGTGGTTAGCGCGCTGAGCTACGAACCCGGCGGCCCGACTTCGATTCCCGCTCACGGCCAACACCAGTGACGATTATCTGAACCGGTCCTGGGCCTCCCCTAGGTAGATTCAGTCTCAAATGAGTACCTGGTGCAGTGTGTAAACATCGCCACTGGGGAGACAAAGGCGGCCGGGCACGGTGTTGGCCCCCCACTTCCTCATGTACCGTGCCGGCCTTCATAGGCGCTCGCTAACAGCACTTGCCCCAACAGTCTGTTAAGGCAAAACGGGGGATCTTTGTCTTTGTGTGCTCCGTTACCACGGTTCTGAGCCAGTGCCTGCACTTTATCAAACGTCAAATATTTATCCGAAAGATAACAGCGACGCAGGGAGGCGGCGGAGGTGACGTGTAGGCATGTTCGAGGTTACCGTCGGAGTGTGGGAGTCCACGGCGTTTTGTGCCCGTGTGGGTGGGTGGGATTGAGGTGAGATTCGATTCCACCCAAATGACCTCGACACCTCCAAGGTTGAGGATTCTCAAGCCCCCCGGGTGGCCGACTCCGTTTCAGGGGTGTTGGTGCCAATCCCACGATGTTGAGCCGACATCCTCCGACACGCTGGGTTCAATCTCTCACACATAGGTGCCTCTCTGAGGTTTGCCAGCCATCTGCGGGAGCTGAGGCA